GAGAGAGAGAGAGAGAGAGAGAGAGAGAGAGAGAGAGAGAGAGAGAGAGAGTTCCGTACTGTCAAAAGGAACGTTCGGGGAGCATGATACTGACGCTACCGCGTTTTTCTATCTTTATCGCTCCTTAGATATACAACAAGGATAGAATAACATGATAGCGCTGATAGCGCTAATAGCAAGCTCTCCAAACGCACCTATAAGAAGCGTTCCATAAGAGTAAGAAAATGAACGATAATATCGCAACCATAATATTATTATAGTTAGTGTTCATATTAGTGCTACAACAGTGTTATTTGCGAAAGGGACAGAGGTTAGTAAAATTGTGCCGTAAATTCGACTATGAAGTATTTTAGTAATAAAATATATATTATGTTGCAACCAAACATAATAGAGATTTTGACCTTACTCGTAATTTGCTAACTAGGTGTCGGAATTAAATAAAATCAAGTTGCCGCTTCATTAACAAATGTTTCATTTTGCAACCAAATAAAAATTAAAAAGATTTCTTTAATATATTGTTGTATGATTACGATTATTAATAGTTATATAAAAAGAAATATCTGTACAAAAATTACCTTTTTAAAAAAGGTAAAAAAAGAAGCCAAGTGCACTTTGCTTTGCTTGCAAAAAATATTATAACAAAAATTATTGGTAAAATTCTTACAAAAAGAAATGATATCAAACAGTTTACACCAAGTGAAATTAATTTCATACACAATAAATATTGTTATAACTACTTTATACATATGAACACTAGAGTAAACGCACCAAAAGCGACATACCACTTTGTTTTTGGAAGTTATGTCTTAATATAAAGCTCAAAATATAAATGTAAATATATATACATGTAGTTGGAAGTACTTCCTATCAGATAATATCATATTTTTACTGAAATTGTTTCTACATTAAAAAAAAAATATTTTTGTAAAACTCACAAAAATAAAGTTCCAAGAAAAAGGATGTCAAAAGCGACATACCTATTGGAAGTTATATAATATGTTGCATATATAATAATATTTGATAAATAGTTTCTTTATGCGTTTAATGGATGAATAATATTCATTTATTCAAAATATAATATTACAAAAAGGAAATATAATTAAATAAAAACATATATTTGGTATTTCCATCTTTTTCATTTCTCATATATTTTATATATGTTGTATTTTTAAACTAAACAGAATAAAACTTTAAAATAAACAAATATCACGTCACAATGGGAAGTTAGAATCAAGTTATGTTAGTCACAGAGTATCGCACCTTTCGCATACTGTAGGAAATATGTCACTTTAAGACACATTCTCATAAAGTTTTTTAAGTTAAACAGTAAAAAAATAATAATTCAAGTTAAACAGTAAAAAATAATAAAAATAAAATATTAAAAAAATATTTATACAAAAGTCAAATGCATGTAGAAGAATTTAATATTAAACAAAAAAAAAAAATTACCGCTGTTTGGTCTACGTAATTCGTCAATGAAAATTATAGAAATAAAACTTACGAATTTTTAAAACTCGATATTTGCTAATTTAGTATATAAAAGAACAAGAAATATACAAAATATGAATTTTTCATGACTTAACTAATAAAACGAATTACATTTATATTAGTTTCAATAAAATACAACATTTAATTTATGAGATATAAAGGTATGTCGCTTTAGGACGCCTATGTCGCTTTTGGTTACTTTCCTCTACCTTAGGATTCTACTGACTTTATTTCCTGATAATTACACAGAATTAGGGAAAAAATAGTTCTTAAAAGCTTATTTAATAAACATACAAAAATAAAAATTTTGGGAAAAGTTAAATAAAATTTCACACGCACACATAAAACACTTGGCGTGCCTATACTTTTAAGATTCATACAACATATGCTCCAAAGATTTTCGTATATATATTACGATTACCGATTTACCGACTCATAATTTATTAAATTAAATAGGCTATATAGACATCGGGATATAAATAATAAAATAATAAATAAATAAATATTAAATATTAAATAATAAGAGAGAAAGAGAGAGAGAGACAGAGACACATTTTTTATAAAAATGAATTATTTTGAAATAAAATTTAAAGAACCTGCTTTTTATGTACACCTAAATATTTACAATATCAAAGTTTAACATATAAAGTTATTAACAAAAAAACTCATTTTCACTGATTAATATTATTTTGTAAAAACAGATGTGATATAAAAACAAAATTACTTTTTTAAAAAAAGTATAAAAAAGAAGCCAAGTTAAAAAGTATAAAAAAGAAGCGCGTTAGCATTATTTGTCTTTACAAAAAAAGATCGTTATAGATAAATTACAACAAAAGCTCAGTTAAAAGATATTTAAAAAAATATTATTAAAACAACCTTATTCAGATCAATTGTATTCTCGCAAATACTCTATTGAAAAATACAAGACAATTTTATACTCTCTACAAAAGTAATGATATCAAGAGGTTTACGCCAAGTACGAATGATTAATCATTTCAGTTTTTACTTTTATAAACATATATGGTTTTGGCTATATAATATATTTATAAATTAAATATATTATGAATATATTAGTAACATATTAATAAATAAAAAATAAAATAATTAGAGAAATACAATAATATTGAAAAAAATTATAATAACTTACACAAAAAGCACTTGACGTGCCTTTTTTTAATATTACATCGATAATCAACATAATATTTTGATAATTATTGAAATAAGAGAACCGTTTGTCTATAAGAAAAAGGCATGCCAAGTGTTTTTTGTGTAAGTTATTATAATTTTTTTCAACATTAATGTAATTCTCTAATTATTTTATTTTTTATTTAATAATATGTTACTAATATATTAAGAATATATTTAATAATTTATTAATTTTATATATTTATTAATTTATATTTAATAATTTATTATATATTGATTGTATTTTTCAATAGAGTATTTGCGAGAATACAATTGATCTGAATAAGGTTTTAATAATATTTTTTTAAATATCTTTTAACTAAGATTTTGTGGTAATTTATTTATAATGATCTTTTTTTGTAAAGACAAATAATGCTAACGCGCGTGCACTTGACTTCTTTTTATATTTTTTTTATCAGTTAATGACGTGTTTGCGTCATTATATTTTTTGAAGATGATTTTTTATTAATTTTAATTTTGAAAAAAATGCCTCACAATTTGTCACAGATATTGGCATAGTTAATAATATCCAAATTGCTATTGTTAATTGGAAAATATTTCTAGTAAGGTATTTTTAATTAGTATATAGTTGTGCACAATAATGCACTAATCTTCTTTAATCAATATTTAAATATCTATATGGTTATTTGTAAAATGGTAGAAAGAGAGAGTGAGAGAGGGGACTTTTGTTCAATTTGATTTAATGTACAAGCAGACAGCGGTAAACATCGCCATCACAGCTTATTTACTGTATAGCGCGTGATTTTTCACGAATGTTATTTAATTAGTAGTTCAAAATTTTGTGTGATTACTCGCAAAATGGTGGAAGAATTTTTTGTTCTGTTTAACCTAATCTACCTGTATGCTCTTCCGTGAATTACCGGATACCCTGTATATCAAAACAATTTTTGTTCTTGTTATACAAGGTGTTCCAGAACAATCCTCGAAGCTCTCGTGGAAGTATAATATAGATTAAGATGAAAGCAAGAAATTTTGAAACTATTTGCTGCACTTCGCGCTAGAGCGTGCGAACGAAGTCCAGCATAGAAGACTATTGTAACGCATTCGTTCAATAAGAAGACGATATAGTTAAAATAAAAGAGGGGAAATGAACATAATGAAAAAAAGAAAAAAAAAAGAAAAATAATATGTATTTCATTGTATAAAGAGGCACATGATTAACACAGATACCCATGTTGTGTGCGCAGAACATGATATAACCTCGAAGAATATATTATATTCTTCTCCTTATTCTATTTTGCAAATGTAGCAATATCTAACTATTTCTATACATAGAAACTCTATATTTTTGACATTTCCCAATACTCTAATAATATAACTACATTGTGTAAAATATGTGTTACGTGGACAAGTTAATTCAATAACTATGTGACTGCTTCCCCTCTTTCCTTCTCTCCAATAACTACACAATTAGACAAAGAAAGCATCTCTGTCTCTATTGTCCTCTCTTGCTAATACCAGTTTTAGCCTCCCTCCCAATAAGCTCTCATTGGAGTTCTATTCTATCTATCTATATCTAGTTCTATTCTATATCCAGTTTCAATATAAATCCGCTTCTGCGCGTCCCCGCTTTTAACAACATTATACTAACAGATTAAATTAATACTTATATGTGTGTCTCAACTTAACGTTGAAAAGACGATATTTAGGATTAAGTATTTAAAATTAAGTATTTAAATTAGATTAGATTAAGTATTTAAAGCGAACATATGAATGTTCATTTAAACAGTAAGTATGTGGTAAAACGGTGACGTGCTAACGTGTAGTTTTAACACATAATTTCAGTTTCACTTGATTTTGCAATGAAGCCATTGCAAAAATGACACTAGTCGCGAAAATTTACCTTATAAACGTTCGGATTCTTTTTAGGGTCAGTTAACACGTCGAACGCTGTGTACAGTTCGTTGAGCATGTTGACGATCTTCATGGCGCCACTGGAGTCCGTGTTAGCAGCGCAATACGCACTGAAGCCTACTATACCGGAGAACAAAAGAGTAACGCAATCGTACTTCTTCGCTGGCACCGGTATCGAGTGCCTGAGTTCGTTCGCCACCGAAATGGGAAGTACCGAGTAAAGTAACCTGCAGAACGCGAATGATGTTTTATTCAGCGTCGCAACGGGGTCCCGTCTTTCGCTTCAGCTTCGCTTAATCGAATTAATATTCGCGAGCGGAATCCTCGGGCAAAGTTTCCACAAGCTGACGTGGACGATTGAGTTTGGATAGTTTCAACGAGCGACTCTCGACGGAGGAAATCTCGGGAAAGATTCTATGTTTCGCTCAAAACTTGAGATGTCGATCTTTCCTACCTCCCTTCCTTTCTTTCTGCCACGGCGTCGTGTACCGTCATAAATTCATTTCCGTTAATTTCTATCGAGTTCGCGACGCGCGCGGGCGCGCGGGGGGAGAATCGCGGATCTCGTGTAATTGTGTTACTAGTAAACGAACAAACCCGGCGGGGATTCGTCCAGTAATCGAAGGAAATACCATAGACGGAGATCCTTACCTGTCAGTTTTCTGCTTCTCGCCGTCGAGTTCGCGATACGTCTGCTGTAGCTTGTCGGTGAGCAGTTCCAAGTTTCGTGTCAGTTTGTAATCCGCCTCAAATTGCTCCGACATCAGGACCAGATCTCGAGTGGCGTCATGCAAAGGGACGTCGCTCAAATACAGACCTCGCCTGGAGCCAAAAGAATATAACATACGATATCATGACGATAGGGGCTGCTTGTCACGCGCAATGGCATGGAGTCTCTGCTGTTTCTTATCGCATCGGGCGACATCTCGTGTGTGAGATATTTCGGTCAGCGTCAACGCGTTAATTATTTCAAGCAATTACACTTAAAGCAGAGGGACAGAAAAACTTGGCAAGTTTACCGGGAGGATTCAAATTGTTGCCAAAAACTAACTTCCTTTCCGGAAAAGAAAACGAGTTTCACAAATCTTGTGAACTGACGAAGTTGCGCTAAAGTTCATGCTAACAAGTTACGCGTTTTACTATTCCGTTACAACTTCCGATTAAGGGGTTACACCATTCTACACTGTTAAATCCGTAGTGTCAAATTATACTCAATTTGAGTTATTTTTAACCATTCCTATAAGTCGCCACTGCTCCTACTAAATATATTGTTAATTTAACTAATGTAATGGAGTTAAATAATTTAACTTAAGAAATGTATTAAATTTGACTAAAATTTTGTTTATTTTTTATTATGTGCACGTTAATGTAACCTTTGTTTTAGTAAAAAAATGACTTAATATTATTTTAAATGGGTTGATTAGATGTGGTTGTTTTTTTAAACACATGTTTTGTGTTAAAATAGTAAATTTTGACACACATGATAGTTAAAAATAACTAAATATTATTTAACTCAAGAAATTGGTTTAAATTTGACCCTCCAATATTTAACAGTGTAGCGTCCGAAAATTAAACGTATTTTTGAGAATTTTTTTGTGAGCAAACAAAGAAATAAATCAAAAATCCGTTTAAAAGATTTTATTTTATATGTTCTAAAACGTATATTCAAATTTTTATGTTAACATATATTATAAAATGGCGGCGCTAGAGCCTTATCAACATGAGCGTGTTTTTCGGAACGGGACTTGCAACATAAATGTTGTAAACGTTGATCTAAAACAAAAACCAAAATTTTCCGTCATCTACATATCAATAGCTAGAAAATTATACATAGGGAATTTTTTAAATATTTATTTTTATAGAAATAACATACATTTGAAGAAAAAGTTTATTTTGTACCCTAAAAATTTCGTCGAAAATTGTTTATAAAATATGTAATTTTCAATATATCAAAAATCTCCTATGTACTTCTCTTAGCTATTGGCATGTAGATGACGAAAATTTTGGTTTTTTGTTCTAGATCAACGTTTGTGATACTTATGCTGCAAACCCCGGAGCCCCGTTCCGAAAAACCTAGCGCCGCCATTTTGTAATATATGTTAACATAAAAATTTTAATATACACTTAATAATATGTACAATAAAGTCTTCTAAACGGATTTTCGATTAATTTCTTTGTTTGAGTATAAAAAATTCCCAAAAATACGCTAAATTTTCTATCACTAGAATAGTGTAATCTCTCAACTATACGGGAACATTCAATTAAACAAAAAAGCAATTTGCGTAAATAAAATTATCAACTGATTATACAGATCTTACCTGGTCAAATCATCCAGATTCATAACACTTGGATAACATAGAAAGATAACTAAATCTGTTTCAGGTATATACAACATTTGACCCTGGAACATTAATTAAACGTTCATATAATACAAATATTAATCAGAGTGTTACGAAAAAAAAAAATGTATTGTCATATTTGGAAACTTTACTAGCCTAGCAAATTTATATTTGTAACAAGTAAACAGTCAGTTTACTATGCTACTATAACTTATTCCCAGAGCTACATAAAATTGTACCTAATAAAATTTATACCTGATAAAATTTTATGTTATGGCATGATAAAATTTTTAATACAGCGAAAATGATTTTCTTTATAAAGAAAGATATAACTTCGTACATGCAACTAATTTTTTTGATATTATTTCCAAAGAAATTTAGTGCATTTAATAAATTTTATTATAGCTAAATAATTAGTTATTCTAGCAATAGAAGTCAGATAAAGTAAAAATGTTCATTAAAATGCTAATTAAAATGTCTGGAATATTTATATTGCAGTTATTCAAATAGTGTAATAAAATATTGCATATGTAAAAATACATACATATAAAGATTCATATAATTTATATCAATATATAGTATCACAAAAATAATACATATAATTATAAAGAAGGAAAATCAAATTAGTCAATAAGTTACACAATAAAGATATTTTGGCTCGATACTAAGAGCATCCTCATATTGGTAGAAAATAAATAGTGATAGAAAAGTGTCTTATATGCCAATCTTGAATAACGTTAATATATAAGATGTTCATGAACGCCCTTCTATGAGGATTTTATTCATACTGACTTAAAATTAGCACAAACAAATGTCTTCTCGGAAGTCTTGATGGGATTTTATCATTTAAAATTTGAAATTTTTAAAAAAATTTAAAAAAACTCTAAATTTGTTGTGTTAGTTTTTTTGGTTTTTTTTCAATTTTACTAATTGTTTATTAATTGTGCATGTAAAATTTCAGAAGTCTTCTCATAAGCTATGAAAGGGTTTCATCATGCATAATTTGAAAAAGTTTCCAAAGAACTACGAGAGTGAAAAAGTCTTTTGTTTCTTTCTTCTTTTTAAATCTAAAATCAAAACACGTGCCCTTGCCATAAAAAAGTTTTAACAAGTAAAAGATCTTTCATTTCCAAGGAAAATCCTGAAAGAGAGTTGAAGGGCTCAATAAAATCTTGAGCTATTTTGTTTTAATTCCAAGACATCAATATAGAGCAGGGGAGAGGGAGAGTTGGGGAAAAAAGTAGGTACTACCTACTTTTAACAATTTCAAAACAATGCAGATGAAATCCTCATCGAAGGCCGTTGATAAACACCCTGCATACAAGATAACTGCAACTGCATTGATTCATTTTTCCGTAAAACAAACAAAATTATATTTTTATTAACGTTAAATAAAGGTAAACTGAATATTTGCTTGGTAAAATTAATGAATCTGTGTATACTTCGTATACTTGAATTAGCTCGAATTACAAAATAATTTGTCGTATTAATTAAAATAATATCAACAAAAATGGATTTGCTCCATGGGAAGGTTAACAATTGTTTTTACACATAATTTATTTGATGCACTAGCAAATCTGCTAGTTATAACGTTTAATATTGTCTAATAAAATATAAATTTGCTGTTATAATGTTTAATACTGTCTAATAAAATATAAATTTGCTGAATCGACTAAATCATTTTTTTCCATAGCATATTCATTTTTTCCGATATCCAAATCTAAATCAAAGTACTAACCTTTAAACGCAAGTTCGAATATTCCTCCGCAGCATTGACACGCATGACATTCTTTTTTGTCCGTAACACATAAACTGTATTTATATGTGACAGTATGTTTTCAAATGTTAATTCCAGATGCGGTCTGACCTATAAAAATAATAAATTACTGTCGATTTTTTGTGAAAAACATTTATATCAAAGAGTATATAGAAAAAAAAATATTATATGAATGTATTACCGAATAAAGTAATATGAATGTAATGCTACAAATATTTAAGATAATTTTCAATTTTAATCAGTGTGTTTGCCGGCATCTGAATAAAATTATCTAAATTATTATCCAGATAAAGAAATTAGATAATTCATATCTTTTTTATCTATTAGGACCTTAACTTAGTTTCCGCCCAAAAAATACTGAGAAAAAGCATTTATTGTAAAAAATTTATTTAAATTATTTCAATGAAAGTATTTTCCATCACTTTCTACAACTTTTTGCCATCTTTCTGGCAACTGGGCGATACCATCTCGATAAAACGATGTTTGTTTCGAAGCAATCCATTCGTCCACCCATTCTCGCACTTCTTCAACATTTCGGAAGCGTGT